CTGAACTCTTGGGGCGTTACGTTTTCACTAAGCGCTTTAGAAACAGACAAAATTCGTTTTTTTAAGGAATTGCTTTAATATTCCAAGTAACACAGAATGAGAACAACCATCGCAGATATCTTCAGCAATAGTTTATGTTTTTAGGAAGTCTTCTTCCGGCCTATTGACGAGTTCCATGACTTCTGATATCATCACCTTAACAGTCACCCCTGAAGTTCCTTAAGCCTTTTGTCATTTTTTATTTTATGTAAAGGTGTCATATTAAAGGTAAGAACGGGAGGAAGTCGTCTGACACCCTGGTTTAAAAAACTAATAATAAAAAAGCTGGTAGCGTCTGGAAACATTTAAATGCAGAAATCGCAGCGTTTTTCCTCACCAATGGAAGACTTGTTAAGGGGTTAAAACAACAACCATATGTTTTGTTTTTGATTTAGCTAAGGAAAACTCAATTCGAACAATGTTGATTTTTTTTATTAATTAGATTTTACATTTTTACGTTTAGGTTTTGAAAGTGGAAAAACAAAAAAAAAACCAATATGGTTGTTTTCTTTTTGCGATTTCATTTTGAAAAAAAAAAAAGAACAAACAATTTGCAGATTTGCTTGTCGTCTCCTCAATTTAGATGACTAAAACAATAATATGCATAAAAGCTCCTGAGACTCAGCATCCTCATGCTGAGGACATTAGTTTTTAAACAACCTAGGTTTTATTTAAATTTTGAATTTAAGTAAAATACATATTTAAATTTCATTACTCCTCATTGCTCAAAAAGTATACAGTAGTGGGTAAAATAAGTATTGAACACGTCCCCATTTMTCTCAGTAAATATATTACTAGAGGTGCTAATGACATGAAATTTTCACCAGATGTYGGTAACAACCCAAGTGATCCATACATACAAAGAAATCAAACCATAAATGTCCAGAAATGAAGTTATTTGTAATAATGTGGAATGGCACAGGGAAAAAGTATTGAACACATGAAGAAAGGGAGGTGTAAAAAGGCATGGAAAGCCAAGACACCAGCTGAACTCTCTCAGTAAGTAGAAAGCAAGCCTGCCCCTTGTCAGTGCAAGTTAATATCAGCTGGTTCAGTCCCAAATGATGGCCAGGTATCACACAAGAACCATCTGATGATGGGTAAAAGTAAAGAGCTCTCTCAAGACCTTCACAACCTTATTGTTGCAAAGCATAATGATGGCATCGGTTACAGAAGAATGTCTAAACTTCTGAAGGTTCCAGTGAGCACTGTTGGGGCCATAATTCAGAAGTGGAAAGAACATTATTTCAMCATAAACCGACCACGACCAGGTGCTCCTCTCAAGATTTCTGACAGAGGAGTGAAAAGAATTATCAGAAGAGTTGTCCAAGAGCCAAGGACCACTTGTGGAGAGCTTCAGAAAGACCTGGAATTAGCAGGTACGTTTGTTTCAAAGAAAACAATAAGTAATGCACTGAACCACCATGGCCTGTATGCACGCTCACCACGCAAGACTCCACTGCTGAAGAAACAGCATGTTGAAGCTCCTTTAAAGTTTGCTGCACAACATTTARACAAGCCTGTGTAATACTGGGAGAATATAGTCTGGTCAGATGAGACCAACATTGAACTGTTTGGATGCCAGAATACACATCATGTTTGGAGGTCAAATGGCACTGCACATCACCCCAAAAACACCATACCAACAGTGAAGTTTGGAGGTGGGAACATCATGGTGTGGGGCTGTTTTTCAGCATATGGTACTGGCAAACTTCAAATAATTGAAGGAAGGATGAGTGGAAAAATGTACAGAGACATTCTTGATAAAAATCTGCTTCCATCTACCAGGATGATGAAGATGAAACGTGGCTGGACATTTCAGCAAGACAATGACCCTAAACACAAAGCCAAGGAAACTCTCAGTTGGTTTCAGAGAAAGAAACTAAAGCTGCTGGAATGGCCCAGCCAATCACCTGACCTGAATCCAACAGAAAATCTATGGAAAGAACTAAAGATCAGAGTTCATAGAAGAGGTCCACGAAACCTTCAAGATTTGAAGACTGTTTGTGTGGAAGAATGGGCCAAAATCACACCTGAGCAATGCATGCCACTAGTTTCTCCATACAGGAGGTGTCTTGAAGCTGTCATTGACAACAAAGGCTTTTGTACAAAGTATYAGATAAATTTCAGTAAGTGTGTTCAATACTTTTTCCCTGTGCCATTCCACATTATTACAAATAACTTCATTTCTGGACATTTATGGTTTGATTTCTTTGTATGTATGGATCACTTGGGTTGTTACCAACATCTGGTGAAAATTTCATGTCATTAGAACCTCTAGTAATATATTTACTGAGAAAAATGGTGACGTGTTCAATACTTATTTTACCCGCTGTATATATATTTTTTATGTTTATGAGGTTCTACTAATCCTAAATAGCTAGCRGGAAATAAAAATTCACACTAAGCAACAGTTTGGGATTCAAATAAAAAAATAAACATTTGTTTTAGGGGTGCCCGGTGCCTCTGCTGGTAACCCCCTAAGCGGTGCCCCTGCAGGGGAGCCGTACGAACGTTCAACACTCACTCATAAATGTGACGCTAACAACCAGAACTGATCAAGATTAGTGATATAAAATATGGTCAGCGTGTCTCCGTCTGCTGTGGCTAGAAGCAAAAGCCTCATTTTTAAATATTACTTAGTTATTATGATGTAAATGTATTTTTTTAATGGTAAACCACATTGTGGTGTTTTAAAAATGCTTTAAATATGTAGAAGCAGTTTTGTCTTTTCTAAAAGAAACCTTACAATTTTCAGCATTTTGATCAATTTGAATTTTAAGGCTAGAAAGTCATCATTATCTATTATCCTTCCAAAATATTAACTGGAAAGACAGACGTGTAGTTTGCGGACACTGCTGTGGTTCGTTTCTTCTGTCAACTGAAATATTTCAAGGAACACTTGTAATGTTACTGTGTTGTTAGGTGTTTTGTTCACACGAAACAAAGCAAGGTCAAGTCCATGACTGAGGATCTTGGTCAGTGATGAGTTGTGGGTCTTTGGTTTATTTTTCCAAAGCGCAGCCTGAAGTCGAGCTACAGTCGTTCAGAAGGAGGAGCTCTAGGAGCCGGGACTCGCTCATTTGCTTTATGGTGGACGAGACTGAGTGGTGAGTTTAAACGCAACAAGTGTGAGGAAACAAGACACTGTGGTCAAAAAGAGATGTGTTTCCAAAATAAATATGGAGAGAAAACACTCATCGTTGCATGTTATCAAAAGAGGTCAGGGTCTGTTTATCCTGAGAAAACTAGGCTTTTAAAACTGTTTGGACCCGTCAGGTCCTGACTGGTAACCTACTTCCTGATTGGCTGGCAGCTACATGTAGCTTTYAGCTGTTCGGTGGTGTGACGCCACATGGCCACAAACTGAGGTAAGTAAAAGAAGTTCCTATTTTGAAGTGAAAAGACTGAAGAAATGTAGAACTACCAACGAACAAAAACAGGTCAACGACCTCACGCGGTTCTGATGGTTGTGGAGTGGTTCTCGGTGGTCCGAAAGCACCTAATGTTTGCTCAGTCGCAAAGCTGCGCCTTATATTTGCTGCATGTCTGCAAACAAGAGAAACATGAWCASTTTAATGTGTATCGATGACATCACYGCTGCCCTTGTCCTGGTCGGTGTTTCCATGACTGACGGTAGCAAACACCAACAAGTGGTAAAACAAGTCACTTCATACCTCCACCAAATCATTCCACCCACAGGTTGTGTTTTTGCACTATTTAATGACTATTTTGTACCCATGAYTTTCCACGTGTGTATAGTGAATGCACCATTTTCAGCAGCAGCTCCGTGCACAGGCTCAAGCAGGTATAAAAAAATGGATATGTTTAAATTTGGTGTTCATCCATTTTGTTCATCTTATCTGACAAATAAAGATTCCCTCGTTCTCCTGCAGCAAAACCTCCAATTCCTATAAAAAGCAGGAAAAAAATATAACCTAATATTCAAAAAGCTTCTGTAATGCAYGATTCGAACAAAACTTGCACTTTCAAATTTCTTCTACTCTGAGATTTGGGATTATTCAGGACTCAGCTACATTACTCCGGATTTAAACTGATTATTTTCTCCATTTTGTTTCAAGGTCCACATGTTGCAACAAAAATGCTGACATGAAGTACCACAAGGATACCAAAACGCCAAAGAATATTTCTAGTTTGGCAGAAAAATCTTTCACAACTATTTTTCCCCCCTTGATTTTAGTTTTCTGTCAAATTAACAATTTCACCACAGGAGTAACGTTGTCAATTTATGTCCTCATTTGTCAAAATCTCTGTAGCTCCTCGGACGGAGGACCAACCAGAAGCACAGTTTTCAAAAAACTCCATTATGGAAGTGTTTTTCTTTTGTTTCAGTTATTTATAATTCTCAAAGTTTGTAGAGTAGAGTAACGTAGACGGCGTTTTCGAACCAGGGTCTAATCTTGTCAATGATAAAATTTATACAACAAATCTGTTTCTTTTCACTCCATTTGTGTACTTTTGTTAAATACATTGTTTTCATTGGGGTGGTGGTCAAGGTGGGCACGAAAAGACTTTTAATAGGCTGCTTATTTTAAAAAAAAAAGGTGAAATATGAGTATGTGGTGACTAMAGCTAGAAAAGTACAATTTGGCGGAAGTACGAACTGACCTGAAGCTGGCAAAACATGAAAAAAATAATAAAAATCCTTGAAAACTTGACCTCCATGAGGGGAACTCAATGTTTTTTTTAATCAAACTTAAAAATACTGTTTGTAAATGAGAATAAAATAGGTAATTTTGACACGTTTCTTTCTTTTCATTTCCTCCCAGATAGCATCTTTTAAAAAAAAATGTTTTTTTTCTTTTGGAGATATGAGGTTCACCTACGAACGTTTTCCATGCCCAACTGGTTTGTACACGTACACTGAACAATGTCGATGGAAAGTAAGGACACATGTACATTTACACACTGGAGAAAAATCAAACAAACAATGTCGTTCGAAATAAAAACAGGTAACAACTGCGCAGCCACGACTACGGAGCTCGGGCTGAGGGCAGGCAGGGAGGCAGGCACAACGTTAAAGGGTGTGTGTCAACACACACACACACACTCCACAGATGTTGGGGGGGGCTTAACACTGAACATCTAAACAGAAAAAAAAGTAATAATAATAAAAAACTAAACTAAATAAAACTGTACAGGCAGAAGAAGACGAACCCCACCCCTCCCCCTCATGTAAGAGGTGATTCTGCTGGCCGGCCCGATACAGCCTGAACCCAAAGCCCAGAGGTGGCACCCTTTGGTGCTCTCCCACGTTGCTCCCTGAAGACGTGTCTTAGAAAGCTCACTCAGAAAAACAAAACGAAACCTAAAAGATTAAAATAAAAAAMCTCCAATATAATCACAGGTATAAGAATTGTGGGAAAAAAAAAGTTTTCTCCCCCCCTTTCCCTCCTTTTTCTCTAGGATCAAGGTTTATATGAAAATAAGTCATGCTTCATGCTAAATACATCGTTTATCTTACATGATCTTTGAATAAAAAAGATTTGCTTTTTATCTTATTTACAAGCACCCATGCAATATAACTGAGAAAGTCCTGCAGGTCAAATTGCTTCAATTAAGAAAAGGAACGGAACAAAAATAAAATAAAAATAAAAAATAAAACCAAAATATTTTCTAACCTTTTTACAGAGTTGTCCACGAACGGGACAAATTGCTTATATCTTTATGAGGGTAGAGCGAGKGTTAAACAGACACGAGCGGACTTTTATCAACCACAGTCCATGTATGGAGAGGAAGGTGTGGCAGCTACCAGWAGCTCTGAGATCTAGACCCGGTGTCTACGGACAGAGGTACTGAGGAAGTTTCAGGGATGTTTACATTATGCAACAACAACGAAATGAAGGAGATATTGCCTCAAACCCGGCACGTTATCTGTCTCTATGGTGATAAACATGACCATTTTTTTTATTTTCATATATTTCTTCTTAAATACTATGAGTGCTCTGGAAATAAACCATGTTTTTACCCATGATGCTTTCCCTATGTGGCGTAAAATAATCTTAAATGCATGAATATACATATCCCATTGGGTTTTACATTTGTTTCACTCTAACTCCTTTACTACGATGCCTTTTTTCGTCTTTTTTTGTTTTGTTTTGTTTGTTTTCCCTCTTTTAGTTTTGGCTACATGAAGCAACCTGGTCGCGTATCTTTGGCACAGTCTCACGTTTGTGCTCGTGGGTTTGTAAGTTGAGGAGAAGTGATGCTAAGTCTCCGCCATGTTTGTTTTGCTGGCATCACTGCGAGATTGCTACAGATTGGACATGGAGAAACAAAAACAGGCAAAGACAAACAGCCGTCCTCCGTCACCGTGCTGTGCGCTCCCTCCTGTGTGACCTTTTTGTTTTGTTTGCTTTTCTTTTCGTTGTTGTTTATCCGCTTGCCCAAATTAGAGACAAAACATGCTTTTTTTATGGCTTTCATCCCCTTTTTTTTAAAAACAAGAAAAACATCGTAGACACATGAGAAATACCCATCGGTGTTAGTGTTGCTGAACATGTAGGAAAACATAGATTTTTGATATTGCCACAAATAAGTAGGATTCACCTAATGCCCTGCAGAAAGATAGAGGGAAATGACGAGTGTCCGTTCAGACTAATGCTGAATAACCTGTTGATCTATTTGTGTGTGTGTGCGTGCGTTAATGTGTGTGTCTTAGTTTCTTAGAGCCTCTTTGGGCTCCTTCTGGCCCTTGGCGGCGCGGTTTGTGATGTTGTTGAGGCAGGCTCGGACGCCGGCCAAGTGGAGCAGCGACCCCGCCGCCTCCTTCATCTCCTCGTCGTCGCTCTCCGGCGGCTTCTCCACCGCGCGCCGCTTCTTGAGCGGCAGCGTGTCGCTCAGGCCCCTCGCTCGGCTTTTGGTCCAGGGCAGGCTGCTGCCCGGCAGAGTCCCCGCCCCCGAGCCGCGTCTCTGTCCGCGCGGGGGCTGCTGGGAGATGTACGTGGCGGCAGTGGCCAGGTGAGAATCCAGCGGGATCTCCCGGGGCTCGGGCTTAACGTCCGACTCGATCTCCACGGCGATGATGTCGTCGTCGTCCAGCGGGGAGGACGGGGTGGCGCCCTGGGAGGAGGACAGCCTGCTGGGGGACTTGGCAGTGCTGTACGTGTGGTCCTCCTGGAGGTCCTCGCCGCAGGGTGGAGGGGAGTACCGTGTCGGGCTGTCCGGTCCTCGGCTCAGATACTCTCCCAGGGATGATCTGCACGAAACAAGGACACAGAAGAGGAGAGGACATTAGTCCTGCCGTCCAACTGYCAGCCAGGTGGACCCACCGCCTGCATCGAAGCTGCTGCTTCACCTTTGGCATCAAAACTGTCCATCTAAACATGTTTTAAAATTTTATATCAGCCAAAATGTCTTTTTGATCTTATTTTGAGACTGATTTACTAAACAAGAACTGATTGTGTAAGAATAAWAATCTTGTTTTCAGAATATGTAAGATTATTTGTCTTGTTAGTCTGAAAATTTGACTCAAATTAAGTAAAAAAAAATCTGCCAATGCAGTAAGAGAATTTTACTTGGTAAGATTCTTGAAAAACTTGATTTGACTCAATTTTTTCTTATTTCAAGAATCTTATCAAGTAAAATATTCTTACTCTATTGGCAGAATTTTTTTTTACTTAATTTGAGTCAAATTTTCAAGAACAAGACAAATAATCTTACATCTTCTGAAAACAAGATTTTTATTCTTACACAATCAGTTCTTGTTTAGTAAATCAGTCTCAAAATAAAATCAAAAAGACTTTTTGGCTGATATAAGATTTTAAAACTTGGTAAGATGGACAGTTTTTGTAGTACAAAATAAAAAAAGTTCAGCGATAATCTATCACTCTCCAACGGGCCCTCCCGGGCCTCATGCTGCATCACTCAATCAGATGAAAAAAACCTCTAAAAAGAGTTTTCCTTTAATTTTTCGAAGTGCTCAATCTCAGATCGCACATTTCATAACGGCACAAAGCATTCTGGGTACCACTGACTGGCTCAGCGCAGGAACAACCTCCTGAACCGGAGCTACTTAACGGCTGTCCGTGATGCTATACAGCACGTTATCCTGAAGCACGTACTTGGCTCTATTAATCAAGGGACTCTTTTTGCATGAAGCATTAAAGGACGGGCTGGTGGTAGTGGTGGTGGTGGTGGTGGTGGGGGGGCATCATGACAAGCTATAAATCAGCAGCAGCCCCCCCCCCCCCCCCCCCCCCCACACACACACACGACTCTCCTTCAGAATGAGAGGGTTAGCATATTAATATCTCATAAGAAAAACACGCGGCCCCCACAGTGATCACATACTCGCTGCATATGTGAGCCTTTGGGTATGTTTAATTCATTACGCCGCGCCGACCATTATATTCTTATGCTGCTGTGATGGATGTGCATGTCCACGCATGCCCCAAATGTTCTGCGAATCACGAGGTCTCCAACAAACCTGTTTGTGTGCGAGAGAGGCCGCTGTACAAACACAYCTGGGTAAAATGTTCTGCGCGGCGGGGAGTGTGTGAACGCCTGACATTTTGGACACAACGGAGATGTAATTATGTAAACTCTACGTGGAAAAGTTTGGTGCTTTGGTTGGGTGTGTCAAAGGGGAAGCCCTGTTTGACATTAATTATACGGCCGGGGGGACGACAGGAGCAAAGTTTACCCACCTTATGGCCGAGGTTCTGCTCCCCACCGGGCTTACGGGCAGGGGTCTGATAACAGGGAACACGGCCTGGCTCCTGACACGAGCGCCGTTTTGGATCACGCCACGAGGAACTGAAGGAGAGAGAGAAAAAAAGCAGCACATACGCAGAAGATYAAGCAGCATGTAAAACACAAATCAGCTTAAGAAGTACACAGGGGGGGAACATGGAAGAGACTGTAAAAGGTGATCGGACCTCGACGAGACAGCAGGAGCAGCTCGATGAGAATTCCCCGACCATACAGGGAGGCCAACAGGGCAGTATTGATGAGCGAGGTGAGGTTAAATTGAGCGGGAAAGCGTCATAAACGAGTTAAGGCCGCCGTGATTCATTCGATTACCAACGACCACTGGGCTCGGCTAAATCCGGTCCGTTTGAGGCTGAACTTCAGCAGCAGCTGGACCCAAAGGAAAACTCTGTAGCTTTTAAAAACTCACTTGAACAGATTCGAGATGAACAAAAGCAATTCAGTTTGTAGATTTTTCACACTGTACAGAAAGAATATACACTGCCTGGCCTGGATTTAACTAGGGTCTATGATGTGGGGTTGCTGCAGGTGGTCAGGTCTAGGTTGAGCAACAGTTTGTGATCAAAGAATGAGGTCAGCTGACTACCTGAATACATATACTGAATGACCAGGTTATTCTATCAATGAACTGTTGATGGCACGGCCATATTCCAAGATGACAATGCCAGGATTCATGGGGCTGGAATTGAGAGAGTGGTTCAGGGAGCATGAGACATCATTTTCACACATGGATTGGTCACCAGTGTCTAGACCTTAACCCCGCTGAGAATCTTTGGGATGTGCTGGAGAAGGTCAGACTCCACCATCATCAATGCAAGATCATGGTGAAAAATGAATGTAACACTTTTTTTTGGGCAAGGCAGTGTTCCATCAATGAACATAGCCTGGTCTGAGACCTTTTACGTCTCAGATCAGGCTATGTTTACCGAATATCACATTATGGATCTCAGCTGCTGGAAACATTTGAAGTCAACTCAATTCAACATGGCTTCCACAACCAACTGACCTTAAAAACTAGCTTAAACTCAAACCATTTTATAAAGCTAAAATCTGGTGTGGTAGCAGAGAATCRTTTCCAACACTCACCAAGTTTAACTTCTTAGCTTAATAGTATGCCATTAACYGTTAGAGACAACTTATCTGTCTGTTAGCGAAATGTCATACGAACCAGTGGACACATTTATTGAAACTTTCAGGAAGTAACCACTGGACATCCATTCACTACTGATAAACATTTAGAGTAAAGCCAGCTCAAGAAGGATGCCACAGCTAACTGCTTTTAAAATATTAACAAATAACTATATCAGTTTTATAGATAATGAACTAAAACTCGATATGGTGGTAGTAGAGAGTCATTAAAAAGAGATACTCTGAGCATGARATTGTACAAATTATATTTAAGTTTGACCAAAACAACTACAACTCCATCTTTTCCCAGTTTAAGATGATCTTCGTCCTAATATCTGGTATGATCATTCAACATTTTGGTCACAGTTATCTAAATGGGCATTTGGGGAACCAGTTGGGTTTAATTTAAATTATAGCCATAATGACAATGCAATGAGAATGACTTTTTGATATTTTGTGCAGTCTTACTCTCATGTAAACAAAATCATGCAGCAAATAATCTACAAATTATTATCTCTATCGAAAATGACCTAATCTGGTGTATTTATAAAGGCTAGAGCTAATTATATTTTCTTTTAAAAGGGAATTCGATTATTTTTTGGTTTTCTCAAGGTGATTAGTAAAAATATTATTTCAACATTTTACAAAGTACAAAAACTGAGTCAATCAGCTGATGCTCAATAAAAGGTGGAAAATGGTTCTAGCAATTGTTTTGCTTAACAAACTTTATAATTATCTGATTATGAAAACAAATAGTCATTACATTTGTGCAAATGAAGCAATTAGTGGCTCTAATTTTRTGTGTTTGTTTTGTCTAAACAGCAGCGATTACTCATTTAGCATTAAGAACTCGGCTAATAATGAACTGTTTAGGCTGCGTTAAAAGGCATCGCTCCCCTTTACCTCTGTCAGTGGTGCTTAACTCCAAGGTGATCTAGTGACAAGTCAGAGATGCTGCGTCTGTTTTAATTATGTCYGTAGATTACGGTAAATGTCAAGAGTAAAGAGTTTGAGAGGCCTTTCAGGGAGGACGATGTTAGAAGAACAACTGTAAATGGTTCCCAAGAGGAGGTGGGCTTTAATTCTGCAAACTGCTGCTTTTGRATCAGGACTCTGGTTATCTGTCAGGGTTAAGTAAATGAAATAAGAGTTGGGAAGGAGGAACAAAACCTGTCTTCTTTATAGCTTTACAACGGTAAATGTCTTTTTATTCCAATGGCAAGTCCACCCAAGTTTACAGAATGGTTGTTTCTATAATAAAAATAAGACTTAGTTCCTACACATTACAATCAAGTATTTCAGCAAGAGGTCAACCATTGGTGTTAAAAACTGTTAACATCACATTTTCTGGAAGTGTTTATGTTTCATATATTGTTTTAAGTTATACCAGGTGTTCTATTGGCTAAACTGATAAATATGTTGAGGTGTAACTTAAAAAAAGGTGTCTTTTTTCARTGTGTTAAAACATTCACAGTGTTAAGGCATGATACGTATCGATGGTAACACTTTGAATTTCCCTTTGGGGTAAAGTCTATATCTATTTACGCACCAGTAGCTTTGTAGGAGAGTAGTCGAGGTAGTAACATTTAAAATGATTGGATGGTCAGTGGACATTGGAACACACAATAGGAAACAGCAAACTTACAGCAGTGTCACATGACTTCACTATCACAAYAGACAGGYATCTGGATGTCTTGTTCACAAGCAATGGCTGGAATGAGTGGGTGATGGGTCGATGGACTGGAGCCTTGTCCTCAGTAATGAGAGTGTTGCTTCGGTCAGTCATGGTGAAGAAAGAGCTGAGTTAAAAGGCAAAGCTCTCAATTTACTGGTCCATGTTCCAATCCTCACCAATGGTTATGAGGTGGGGATCATGACCAAAAGAACAAGATGCTCAGATACAGCATTTTAGTCTTTGGAACGAAACAACATGCTAATTGGCGATTGAGTAACTTTAAGACCAATACAGTTCAGCAACATTACCATCATATGTCTCTGTGGATTCTCAGTCCAACAGGACACGGACATTTAAAAGAACAAAAGACAACACAACTGGATTTCTGTTCTGTAGCTGAAGACGTGTGGAGCTACAAGATTCAAACTGCATGACTCGAGGTTAATGTCATTATTGGAAAACAATACAATACATCAAACATCTGTCTGCACACCTGCAAAGAATTAAGGTAACAAAACTTAGCAAAAGCATACATATATACATTTAGACAGATAAACAAACACCCACCTATACAGTATATACCTGGTGATCATTCAGAACTCCTCGGATCTGAACACCTGTCTGCATGCGGTTGTGAACAAGCATAAATATACAGGATTTCTCCAACGGAATGTATAATAGTGACTGTGGGGGAGTCCCAGAGCCGACCCCCAAGGCACAAGGCAGACATAAGGGGAGGCCAGAGCCAAAGACCCCAAGAGGAACCCCAAGCACCGGGCCCCCAGGTACACCTACGCGAGGAGAGCTGCACACCCACCCCCAGGTCAAACCATAGGGGAGACCCAGGAGAACCCCACCAGCGACCACACGCAGCAGCCCCACAGTGGCCTGCAGCAATGAGCACGCAGGCCCCCACCGGCACCCGCTGCACTAGGACAAGCACAGGCATAGGCACTGAAGGCCCAGCCCCCAGGGTACCCCCCCTCAAGCCGAGACCCGACAGGGCCAGAGGACCCAAGCCCAGACAGGCAGCCACCAGGCTGAGCCAGCACACACCCGAGCACTCAGCCCTCATACCCCAAGAGCCATCCGCGCACCGGTGGGCAAGGCACCCCCACCAGAGGGCGGTATGGGATAGGGGCGACAAATGAACCAGGGGGAGGGGGGAGTCCACGTCCCAGCCTGATACATCCCCACGCGCACACACAAACACAATCATACAATCCCACCCTCATCCTCGCACCCACTCATTCAAAGACATACAAAATAGACACCACACTCCATTCACACTCCCAATACACACTCTATACCCCCCAGGTCCAGGGTCAGACACATCACACTAGAAACATCATCCAAAGTTTCAACAAACCACAGAAAGTTGGACTTTACGTTAACATCTTTCATGTTTTTTTTTTAACACAATCACAAGCTTAGTTTTTAGGATTTGTACAGATTTTATTACTACTCACTATTAATAATGATGATGCAACACAGCATTCCAGCTCCAAGTTTTTGAAAACAAACTCTCCTCGAGTCCACAAACTTTACACTTTTAATAGTTTATCTGTCCAAACATGGGCATTTTTACTTTTTTTCCACATGGTTTTGTCTCAAATTCTTTGCAAAATATACTCATCCAAACTCTTTTTGACTTCCATTGTATCTGAGCTCAGAATTTCCTCTTGAGAACAAGAAATAAAGGCTCTTTTTAACTCATATCTCCTACTTAAAACATCTTAGACATGTAAAAGTTGATGTGTGATGGCCAGATGTTTACTTGCAGTTCAGTTTTTTTTTTACTTTTGTTCAGTGACTGTTTATTTGAAGCTTACTTTATGAGGTTGTGGCTAGAGAAGAGACTGAGATAAAAAAAATAATGAAGAACATAAGAAAAATAGATTTTAGTTATAGGTGTATTGATGTGGATCACTACAGGATGCAAAAAATATTCCTCAATTAAAAAAAAAAACTAACAAAAAACTGACATCAAAATCTGAAAGAAAAAAAAAAACAGGTTCGTGACGCAGCTTCAGAGTCAGCGTCTCTTTTTTYCCCTCCCCACTGCTGCTGTCCTACTTTTCTACCAAAACTAGACAGCAGAGATTTGAAAGCTGCAAACCTGACTGAGGACTGAGGAGAACAGAGAAGGTCTGAGCCAACAGCTCTCGTTACACAAAGCTGCCCCGCTCRCCACAGCCGTCCCAGCTCACTAAAACAGCTGTCACTCTCATCTCTGGGGGTC